GGATACAGTATTGTACGAGTACATGTGGTGGATCTCCAGGAAAAATTATTTCTACCGCCGATTGCTATTTATCGACTGGTAATTGCTTTCAAGACAGTTGCATTGCCAGCAGTGGCATTGATTTTCTCGTTCAATCATTTACAACATCAGTTGGTAGTAAATATACAGTTTCATTCTGGTTGGATCTTGGTGGTTCGGGCACTACAACTTCCAATCGATTTTATTTTGACATTGTATAGATACTGTGTAACTTAACTTTGTGAGCATCGAACTTCAAAAACAACACAATGGGTTTTAGAATAAAGCTGAAATCTTGTAAAAACTTTTATTGTAGAAACAATTTTGTCCAAAGTTAAGAAGGAGCAATGTGCTCATTTGGCAACCTGATGGCTTGGATGAAATCATTGTCAGGAGTCAAAAAACTTTTGAATACAACGTAGGATTGCTCTTCTCACAGAATTACGATGATGTGCTTTTGTTTCTATGATTTTGAGAAGGCAAAAACTAAGAGATTTTATTTTGCGTTTATTTGCTTGACTTTTGCTACGTCATTGAAAATACTTAATTTTATGTTTGAAAAAGCGGAATGCATAAACAATGGCACAAGGAAGTTTTCTAATACTATACAAGATGACATTATTCATGTTGCTGTGCACAATTTATGGAAGTCATTGGTCTCAGTGTGACAGTAACATGTGACCTGTCGTTTCTCGTCGATCTAATAATTATTATTTTGATCTTCTGATTTTGTTCTTTTTCGCTGTCTCACAAGGAAAACAATGATGATGTCTACAACTTTCAGTTATAAAAACTTGCCTGTACACCGGGAAAGAGACCTCTAGTAATAATAGTATTTACAGTAAATTCACACTTTATTGTTTTCTAGCCGAATTACCCGGCGTTGCCCTGGAAAATTCAACATAACATTTATGACAAATCAGAAAACGGCAGCCTTATGGTTTCCTATAAGCTACCGATCTTGCATGTCGCCAAATGCGTTCAAAATCCTATCCATTTGAAAACTTTTCAAAGATTTTAACATTTCTAAATTTGAAAATTTTTCTCTTCTTAATATTTTGTGAAACACGATTGAATATTCCCGTTGAAGTTCATGGCGAGAAAAGTAAACCCCACCCTGTCCCACAGACCACGACAGAGATTTTCGATATGCAGCTCTTAGGGGCGCGAGAATTGTTCAAAAATGAGGAAATGGAGGATATTTTTGAGTTCACAACTCATTTTCTCGCAGAAGGCTGGTAGTCATCCTAATTTGGAGGATGGGTTAACGAAAAATTTTCTGGATGATGTTCAGTGTGACATGGGTCGTTCACTACAATGAAAATGGCTTCCTTTTATTTCACACATTAATCCTATAGGGATTATGCTGAAACATTTTTTCGTTTTGTGGGTTTCTTTAATTTGGGATATATGGTTTGAACCTTCAGAACAGAATAATGGGATCACTGAGAGTTTGCGTGGTTCGATAGAGAACAAACTCTTCTATTGTCTAGTGATATTTCAAGCCAAAGTTCAATCGGAAATCGTTTTTCAATATAGTTTCCAAAATCTTTATCAATGAATTCGTCTGATTGGTTGGTTTGTTGGCCAATCAGATTTCATGATACTTTCACGCCCCGGAATCTGTTATGTCGAATGGCGAAAACTGCAGGTCTTTATCTCCTTTCGTTCTCAATTTATTAAAAAAAGCTTGTTAGCGCAGCCCCTTTGGGGCTGAAATGTGGAACTCACGTATACGCTTCAGCTTCATTATACTAATATGCAATATAGATAGTATAAAATCATGAATTTTTAATTTTCTGACAGGCGCCCTTATTTTTCGTTTTCTTTGTTGCTATTTACTCAGTATTTTTCATTTTTAATACTGCTTTTTTCTTTAATTTTACATTTTTATTATAAGAAGCATTGAATTATATTATATATATATATATGTATATGTATGTTCATTATTTGAAACCTGGTCGCTAAGGTCTGTAATGGAAGCCTACGTTGCTATGGTATGTAATGGTAGCCTGTCTGTAAGGGGAGGGGGGAGGGGTTGGGGGAGCCGCGAAACCTTGAACTTAAAACTTACACCCACTATTTTGTGGAACTCTCGTATGTTTTCGAAGAAAATAGTGATTGTAAGTTTTCAGTTGGAGGTTGGCGGCTGACGGAGAAAGAGAACATTAAGACATACCCCAATTATAGACCCCCCCTCCATTACAGATACCACTCCCCCCTTCATTACAGACTTTAAGAATCGAGAATAAGAGGCGTCAGGCTTTCTAGAGTTTTTTGCAAAATTGATTAAGTTATAATTTTGAAAAATAATGAATATCATTGTTTGTAAATTGATTAATATATATAATAGTGCCTAAGATCTGTTGTAGGTATCATGTATGTGTAAAACAGACTTATTTGTCAATTAATTCAATGATTATAATAGTAAGAATGTTAAATTAACAAAAACGAATAAAAAAAAAGAAAAATAATGAGAGAATAGCAACAATGTAAAAGAAAAACATAAGGCATCCGACGAAAAAAATAAAAGATTTCTGTTCAAAATGCAGAAATTCGAGAGGTCTTTACTCTTATGTCGATTGCCCTGCAAAACAACTATAGTCTACTAGAGATTTTTCGTTTTAGGTATTTTGTATTCGTTTAGTGAGGCTAGAGGATATATGTGAGTTCCACATTTCAGCCCCAAAGGGGCTGCGCTAACAAGCTTTTCTTTGAAAATATACGTGAGTTCCACAAAACAGTCACACACATACACATTTTGGATGGAACATCTGCTATGGTGCTCCAATAATGAGGTTACTAAGTACTTCCGAGATCAAAATCTTGAATCAAAACATAGCCCTCGACTTTTCGCTGGACGACAGAAGAGACCATGCAAAATTTGGTTACACTGGCTCCTGCGAGGTTCAAATGCATGAAGAACAAACAAATGAACATTCTTCTTTAGATAATAGATGAGAAAATATTACAAGAATCTTGCTAAAAATGTCTAACCTTCGTGCTTATGTTACTCTCACATAAATTTACACACAGGGATATCCAAAAGTAGTGGCAACGACATTTTAGTACCATATATTAAGCTTGATAAAAGTTTCTTTTTACATAGGATGATAGAGAAAAAAATGCGCTTTCTTTCTATGCTATTTAATCATACTTCAGTTGGCATCATAACGACAAAGTTCTAATAAGACTAGTTTTCCTAACATGTGAAACCGTTACAGAAGTTCATATTGTCTTCAATATGCATTCTTTTCTTGATCTTTTCTTTGTTTTTCTTCTTTCCTTTATTCTTTTCTCTCGCCTCTTCTGAGACTTTATCGTTTATTCATATTAGCATATCCGAAAATTGAAAATACATAAACAAGTTCAAGAAGTTTTTATTTCATTAAATATTCAAAATAATTGCCTTGATTATCTACACACAATTGCATTCTTTGAATCCATTTTTCAAACGTTTTTCTATACTCTTCTTTATCCAAAGAATATATAAACTCGGTTATAGCGTGATGTAACGATTCGGAATTAGTTTGATCAGTTAGATTTCGTTTGATTAAGTCGAATAACCAAAAATCACAGGAAGACAGATCTGGAGAATTGGGTGGTTGTGGTACTATAGTAACTCCTTCTGAACCAAGATAAACGAGGACATCTTTATGAACATATGCTCATCCGTTATCATGATGAAGTTTGATGGCATAAGTACCTGAGAGAGGTCTTTGCTTCTTGATTTCTGGGATAACCGGTTGCAAACAGTTTTTGATGTAATATTGGTGATCGATAGTTCGTCCACGTTCGACACGAGGGATTAGAAGAGGACCAGTTGATTTAAAGAAAATGCAAAATAACGTTTTCGGAACAAACTTATTTCATCGCACTATTGTGGGTGGAGGATCTTGTTTTGCCACCCAAGCAGCATTGGAAGCTTTTCGACCAGTTTGCTGATGGAAAAACTACGATTCATCACCTGTTACAATGTCCCATTAACGCCATCTTCCTTCTTCAAATCTTGACAGATTTTCTTTGCATATTCGAACTCGTTCACTCCGTTGATAATCCATTAGCTGTTTCGGTATGTAACGAGCAGTAATTTTTCTAAGTTCCAGATGATCAGATAATATTCTATGAACTGTACCATAACTTAGTCCAGTATGCTCTTGTAATTCTGCTATTGTAACATGAGGATCATCACTAACAATACTACGAATTTCTTCAATATTTTCAAGAGTACTCTCAGTTACAAGTCTTCCGGATCGTTCTTCATCTTCAATTTCTTCTCGACCCTCACGAAACTATTGAGTCTCTCTTGCAATTGTTCGATAAGAAGGAGCTTCATCACTAAAAACACCACTTAGCTCGTCGTGAATAGTTCTTGCTTCAATATTCAGTGCAGTACGCACTTTAATGTAGAAACAAAAATTTTCTTTGTCCATGGAAAACAAAAATGAAGAGTGTTAAGATTCGATTTAACTTTACTTTTTTCACTTTCTATAGAGTAGAATGGTACACGGCGCATGCACAAAACAGGCATGTGCCTTTGTATACATATGATAAATGATAAAGTCTCAGACGAGGCGAGAGAAAAGAATAAAGGAAAGAAGAAAAACACAGAAAAGATCAAGAAAAGAATGCATATTGAAGACAATATGAACTTCTGTAACCGTTACACATGTTAGGAAAACTAGTCTTATTAGGACTTTGCCGTTATGATGTCAACGGAAGTATGATCAAATAGCATAGAAAGAAACCGCATTTTGGATGGGTGTGGGGTATGGGTGTGGGTGTGTGGTGGTGGGTGTGGGTGTAGGTGGGTGTTGGTGTGTGGTGGTTGGGTGGGTGTGGGTGGGGTGTGGGTGGGGTGTGGGCGTGGGGTGTGGTGTGTGGTGTGGGTGTGGGTGGGGGTGGGGGTAGGGGTGGGGGTGGGGGTGGGGATAGGGGTGGGGATGGTTCTTACTCTAGATCATCCCTTTACCATTCACACCCACACCCACACCCACAGCCGCACACCCACACACCCACACCCACAGCCGCACACCCACACCCACACCCACACACCCACACCCACATCCACACCCACACACCCACACCTTAGTTTGGTATCGAATCTTTTTCTCATTCAGAGTTAATCAATAAATCCTTTTTTCTTACGTTCGAAATATCGGCAATTACTTTTGCATTAATAGTTACATAGACTGATTAAAAAAAACGAGATGTTCTACGTAAAATCAGCAACAAGTGAGAAAATAAATATAAGTTATAAAAATTTTTTGTTTTTTGCAATTTTTATCAAATTTTTGATTCTATAACTTTTTGAAAGTTAATAAATTTTTGCGAGTCATATTTTCTATCAAGACCAGTGCATAAAATGAAACTATTGCAGCTGAATAATTATGAAAGAGAAAAGAAAAACTGATTATATATTGAAAAAGAAAAAAAATTAAACTTTTATTTGTGACATGTTTAAAATTTGCAATCAATAATGTATAATAATAGGATAGGGTAAAATCATTGTTTGAAAATCTAACAGATATCTATCAACGATTTATTTTAATACTATAAATCATGTACGTCAACATCTAAATGATATTAATCAACGTTGAACTATTATATTCTCTAGTCAGTACATCGCACAGTTAATGCAACACAAGTCAAGAAGGATGTTTGTATGGATTTAGAGATGATTCACACCCTATCATATGTATACAGTATATACACATGTGTTGTCAAGACCAATTTCTAAAGGTAAAAACATATATGCGACTTCATTTTTCGTTCTCTCGTATTTTCATTACCATGCGTCACAATCTTTCACCACATTGAAGCAATCAATCTAATGCAGTGTATAAAAAGCAACACATGTTTTAGTTGACTTAATCACTTATTCTTGTAGTTAACTATTGAGAAGAACAATGAGTGAATCAAATAAAGCTATAACTTCTGAGCAGATGAATGACGAAAATCAAATAGGTGTAAGTAAGAATACTGTACATTGATCAAATCGAATATGAATTTGATTTTTCTTTTTTAAAGCCATTTGCTATCACACCAAAGTATGATTGTCCTCATGTGGGTGATCGTGTTGAATTATTACTTTCATTGACTCAGCTTGATCGTGAGCATCAGCCACCTTGTGTTGACTGTAATCAAACACAAGAGAATTGGGCCTGTCTACATGAGAACTGTAATTATGTAAGTTATTCATTAACAAGCGAAATGTTTATATATATATATATATTAATTGTTCAATTAGATTGGCTGTTCTCGTTATCAGCAAAAGCATATGCTGAATCATAATGAATCAACTGGACATAATATTTGTTTTAGTTTTTCCGATCGCTCAATCTTTTGCTATGCATGTGATAGTTACATTGATAGTCCTCAATTGTTTAACCTCAAACAACAACTAAATAATGTATCTAATTAAAATCAAACGAATAATATGTACAAAGCTTTAATTGAAATATTTTAATATTGTAAGTTTTTTTTTCTTATTTTGAATGTTTTCATAAAATAATCCAGAGACTATTTTGATATTTTCTTTTGATGTTCATTGCATACATGTAGATATTGTGTTTGTCTATTAGTAAATATCGATGTTTCAGAAAGTTTGCTAAAAAACCAAAAAGATTTTCATTAGTAACCATTTCACAAATGTAAAACTGATGACAGAAAAAAAAATACATTTTGATGCATTTTTCAAAAATTTATGCAGAATTTAAAATAAAAGTTGAATCTTCTTTTTTATATATCTAATGTTAAACCCTTATTTTTCTAACATTTGTATGTACCTTAGATTAAATTATCAGTCATATTCATTATCAATTCTTTCATTATTTATGTTGTTTGTTTCGAAATAAATCATATAACTAAAAGTTGCTTATTCTTATCATCGTCGTTAGTTTTTTGTTATATGATATAATTACACTTACTGATAAAAAGAAACTTATTGGATTAGGCTTGAAGAGGATGGCGTGTTTTCGATGATTCTAGAAGATCCTAAGCATTCTTTTTACCTATCCCTAATCTTTTCTGTATAGTTAAATTAATTTTTGTATCGTGCTGAAAACAGCTGATGTATTCGTTAATTTTTGATCTACTAGTTGCTAGAACTAGAAGAAAGCTACAATACTATCACTTAATATATGTATGAGTTCTAGAACGTCAAAGTAACGATAGGATAGTTGATTTGAATGCTTAAGAAGAATTTATTCGTGTATTGGATTGAATATGGCCAAGTTTCAATTTATTGAGACAAATTTACTTTCGATATGAGGATATTTCTAGTATAATGAAAATGACTGCTTGTAGATAGAATGTATTCTTTTTTCGATTTTATTCAATTCACATTAGAATAATATTTAGAAAAGCTTTGTTATTAATGTCAAACGAAATTTTAATCATTCAAAAAGTACATCATTTAAACTCTTGTTCACTAAAAACATGACTTTGATCTAGATAAATTGAGATGCGATTATTTTAGTTAATAATACGAATACTTATGAATTATCATAATTTGTGCCTTTCTAAATGATATCCACATTTATGGATAATTAAAAAATTAAAATCACTTCTGCTGACCAAGTACGGATTTTAATTTACTCATACCATACTGTAAAGATGCTTTTTTCAACTATCAAATCTTGTCAAGTATATTATTAGCTCGAATCGAGTAATCATATGATTGATCCGATGTTATTTATACGATTTTAACATTAAAATAGTAACATTGAAAAAGTATTTTTAGATGCTTCGTCTTCTAAATTATCAATATAATAGAAGGCTTGCAGTTTGTATTATCGCATGTTATGTGTTATCAGGCCACCAGATTCAAACCACAATGCACGATTTTAGAAGCTCATCTTTGTTTTACCTTCTTATTTTGTTTATTTTGTTTGAATAGTTATTGTGATTTATTTAAGAACTGAATTTGATTCTTGATGGAGTTCATCTCTTATAATCTGAGATTGATTCAATCAAGACAGATGCAAATCTGAACAACAGGATCATTAATCGAATGCAAATGTTTCAATTGATTCAACTTCAATTTGATGTGAAATACAAACTACTGAATTGGAATGCTGCTATCATGGTTGTTGGTTGCGTTATCTTTTGTTGATACCAATCTATCAACAAATCTCAAGCATATTTTAAGTATCTAACATAATGGCTTCTGTTCAGTAAAAAAAATTTAGTTTGACAAAACAAAAATGAAAAGACGATGCCAGTTGATATTAAATCAGACATGACATGAACAGAGATGGCCGAGAATCAAATATTGAAAGTAAACTATTTCGATGTTCGATTTAATGAAACTGATGTCATTGTAGAAGATTCATCGTCTCCTAATTATCTCAATTAAAAGTCGGTCAAAACTCTTATAATTAGCTATCGTTTGAAATACATAGTAGCATAGGCGGCGGAGCCACGAGGCCTGGGTAGGCACGAGCCTACCCTAGATTGGAGTAGGGTAGGCTTGGGTAGGCTCGAACCAGTACAGATAAAGGCTTGACTAGGTT